TTATAGCTTAATTTTACAAATACTGTATAAAAATATTTGGTGTCAAAATAGCTTGACTTAACATTTAATAACTAACTAAAAACACTTGCAGCAAACAACCAACAAAATACCCTTATTTAATAAAAATCATACTTTTGCTTTCATTTTTAGCACATAAACAAAGCTATTAGAATCTTTCAGGATTATAAAGCACACCTACATTGTAACTCATCTCAAATGTCTTATTAGGGGTACCTATGTTAAAGTTTTATTACACTTACATTTTCCATGCTTTTATTTGAAAAAATAAAAAATTCTTAATAGTTTAGCATATAAGATTAATGTGGCCTGTTAATGCAAACTGTTATTCTAGAAACTGGTAGAAACTTCGTATCACACCTTCTTAAACCTTTCCACTCAGAAAGAATGAAAATAACATCAATCAGCAGGAATGGGCTCAACCAGAACTAGCTAGGGAAAAAAAAAAAATCTCAACTGACTGGTTGTGGTGAGCTTTCACATGCATTTATGTGAACTCTGAACCAGTCACATGAAGGTATGGCTCCAGGACCTTTACAGGAACAAGAGCTTTAATGGCTGGAGCCTATGTTGCTGAGGCAACCAGTTTGCATCTATTTTTAGTCAAACCTCTCTTCGCAGTTTGGGTGACTCCCAGAAAAGCTTGTCCCAGTGAGGCAAGTTGTGGCAGACACAGTATTTGAGAACAGAAGTCTGCCTGACAGGCTTAAAGACAGTTTAGAAAGACTTGTATGCCATGAGTCCTTTAAATTGTCATAGAGATTGGAAGTCAAGAAATCATAACAACTTTTTGTTCTAACAATCATTATTCTTCTCAGTTTTCATTACTTCCCTCAAGTCTAGATCAATTATGAAACTGTTAAGATCCTTGTGTCCATCAGGAATCTCAGGGAACATATTTCATCATAGAAATATTATGTTTGTATTTCTGAAAAATAAATAAATAAACATATGTATATTCCAAGCTTTTTGTTTCACACACACAAAACAAACAAGCCAACCAATTAACTGGAAAACAAAAAAAAAATGTCCATCATATTTCAATTCAGAATGTAAAAAGAAATCCAATAAGTTACTGGCCAGCTCCAATCCTATATCCACTTTACAATTTATGGTAATTGAATAATTTATTTTCTAGAGGATTCATACAAGTAGAAGTTCATGTGCAGAATGTGCTTGTACATAAGCAACCATCACAAAGGAACTGTTGGTTTGTCAACAATCTTATTATGTTCAAGTGAGTCCATGTAGATAATATCCCATCTCATGAGAAAAGCTGGTAGAAGTGTCTTCTCATATGCAGGCAATAAGAAGTACTATGAAAAGAGACAGCGCTGTGGCTACCAGACATGTTATTGACTAATTCTAATATTAACTTAAGAAATAAGAGAATGCTTAAATAGAAATTTGAAGTGAGAAAGCAGAATCACTTGATACTTTGAAACATGGTGTAGAAAGAAACTAATGCATGGTATGAATTCCATTAGCTTTCCAAATCAGTCATTTTCACAAAGACAGAGAAAATAGCCTAATACAGATTTGTTTGAAGGTCTTGTTAGTATTAAGACAACAAGGATTGAGATCTTATGAAAAACAGATATCTCACAACAAAGACTAACTACATGTATTAAACTCTTTTGGTAAATGTCATCTATGAATCAGTTCATCAGTTCTGGCATTCATTCTCCTCTTCAGAGTGATACACCTTCATAGTATAAATAATGGAACTTTGTTTGGGTGATAATATTATCGCTATTGATTGTTAAAAGCTGTTTAGATTCACATCAGAGCAAAAGAATGGATGGCTTCTGCACCTTGTGCAAGGTTTGAATAGCACAACACTATACATAAGAAACATCTGTGGAATCACAGAAACATAGAGATTTTCATCTAGGTTGGAAGAGACTTTCAAGATGATTAAGTCCAACCATCAACCTGGCCTATTGAGTACCATCACTAAACCATGTCCCTTAGTACTCACCTCTCTGCAACCTCATTTCAGGTATTGTAGAGAGCAATGAGGTCTCTCCTCAGTCTCCTTTTCTCCAGACTAAACAACCCCAATTCCCCCATCTGCTCCTCATACATCTGGTTTTCTTGTCCCTTCACCAGATTCATTGCTCTTCTCTGCACTCGCTTGCACAACTCAACATCCTTATGGCAGTGAAGGGCCCCAAACTGAACACAATATTTGAGGGACAGTGTCATCAATGCCATGTATATCCCTCGTCCTGCTATTTCTGATGCAGTTCGGGATACCATTGGCCTTCTTGGCCACCTGGGTATGCTAAGCACACAAACTATCCCGTTCAATATTTTACCACCTACCATTGCATGTAACAATGGAATTGAGAAGGGAACATAAGAAGAGTGGGTGTCTCATTCTCCTGACCCAGCAGTGCCCTGAAACTGCTAATGCTGAGATTAAAACAAATCACTCTATGTAGTGATTTGCAGTGAATGGCGGAAACTGGGTTTTCTCTTAAAAATGACAAGGAAACTAAGCACTAGCTCTTGGAAAGCATTCCATTAACAAGCTGGGGTGCACATTTTTTATCATTTAGATGAAAATTCCTGAAATAAACAAGAGGAAAAAATACAAAAACAGAAAGGAGTTCACTGAGTTACAATCTCCCAACCAACCATTTCCTGACAATGTTGTTCTTACCTATATAGAAAATTGGCTACTAAAGTCTTGTAAGAATTATTTTAAAATTGTGGTAAGCCAACAGAATATGAAATCACAGATCTAAAGAACAAAATTGTCTGAACAGTGTCAAAAAAAAAAAAAAAAGAAAGAAGAGAAGAGAAGAGAAGAGAAGAGAAGAGAAGAGAAGAGAAGAGAAGAGAAGAGAGAGAGAGAAGAGAAGAGAAGAGAAGAGAAGAGAAGAGAAGAGAAAGAAAGAAAGAGAAGAGAGAGAAAGGAAAAAAGAAGAGAAGAGAAAAAAGAGACAAGATAAGAAAGCCTGAACAAAACTCAGTCAAGAAAAGAAAAAAGAAAGACAAGAAAGAAACGGGAAAAAAGAAAAGAAAAGAAAAGAAAAGAAAAGCGAAATAATGAGCAGCTTGGTGTGCTGCGATTGTATCTCTAATGTTCAGCAGTGAAAGCCTGTTCTAGAGAGACATGCCAAAGTACTAATGTCTCCCAAGAACAGTAAAGGCTTTAAGCAGAGGACAGCTAGAATGGATCCATAGATGAAAAATATAAAATTACTAATATGACTAACATTGATTCCTGTCAGCAAAACAATGTCTGAAAGGAATGAGGGACTTATGATGTCATGATTCCTCTACCATCTCCTAGTGACAGTAAGTCAAATGTCTCCTCACTTTTATCAGGCTTTGTCACTTGCAATTATTTACAGTGCTAGGGGCTTTATTTCTGCTTGCTTAGGAAATTTAAAAGTAGTTGCTAATGATGGTATCTGTGAGGTTAAAATGTCTTCACTTTATGTGTCTAAAATGTCTACACAGTATTAACAAATCAGCTGTATCGCTTTCATTAACTAATTATTTACAAGTAAAAAAATAAAACAAACAAACCAACAAAAAAAAAACAACAAAGACAAAAATCAAAACGGTTGAAGAGACTGGAATGTAAGATTATAAGATAAAAGTCTTTTATAACCTGACTGATTGTACCACCAATTGGTAGAGCAGAGCTGTGCACATAAATTTTTAGTTAGAAATTAATATGAAGGATTTTAAAAATCTCATTCAGAGTAATTTAAACTAAGATTTTTAGAATTTGGGACAAGGGAAACAGAAATGCCAGAGGGAAAAAAAAAATCAGTTTAGCTTGATTAAAAATGAAAAATATTTGGAAATAAATGGGTTCAAGCAGAAAGGGCATTTGATATTTTTTCATAAAGGGAGATAAGTACTTCCTCACTTAAATGTCAATAATTCAGATGCTTAGTATCCTCCCAGGTTCAAGTATCCTGACAAAATGATTGGAAATAAAATTCCCTCCTTTCCCAAGAACACTTGCCTGAATGACCAGGTTACAAATTATCCTTGGCTAAATCTGTCTCAGTTTCTCACTGTACTCACACACTGTGAATAATTAGTTTTGGAGGAGACAAAAAGGATGAAATAGTCATTAAGATATCTGTCTAACAGCAGAACCATGGTCTACAAGAAATTTTGAGTAAATTATGCTAAAAGAAGCAGTTTCATCAGTGATGCTGAAGGAAGAAATCCCAGAATGATGTAGGTCTCAGGGCTGGGCCTGCTACTGACATCTTTCAAATCGCTGCTGTAAATGAGACAGTGAGAATGTGAATGTGAGTCTTCCAATTCTTGAGAACCCTTAACCCTGAAATAATCCTGCAAGTAGAGTGTAGTCCCCCATGATTTTCAGGGTTCAGGCTTTTGTCCCCCTACATTACTGCATGTTGGAGAAGTTCCTAAGCTGCCAGCCATCACTGGAAGTCATGCCTATTTCTGGCATTCCTGATCCTACCCAGGCTATGTAGTATAAAAAGAAGCTTTTTCCTTATTTTCTGGTTACAGTGTCGATGTGGTGGGAGACTGGAACTCTTGTTTAACCATCCCAAATGTCTGGTTTGTAATGTCACTCCCTCTTCAGTAAAGAGTAATCAAAGTTCTTTAAAAGCTCTTTAAAATTGTTCTTGTCTGATATCAGGTTAAGTCTGTAAGTATGAGCTCTAATTTGGAATATCCAAAAAAGAAAAACCAGACACAAATAATGATAATTGTAAATAAAAGACCATGTTTACTCTATTTGCGCTTCAATTTTATGGCAATTTGCACCTTCAGCTAGCTTTCTGCTTTCTTCTGGGTAATGTTTTTTTTTCAGTTTTTGTGCATGCTCCTATGTCCTGTGGACAATCATAACAACATCAGCAAATCTAAATCATTGCAGCTGCAGTCTGGATCCTCCCTCATTTTGGTTGTGTGCCTGCTTTGAGCACCAGCTTAGAGAACTGGTATGGCAGAAAACTAAACTGGCAAAACCCAGTTAACCTGCAGCCACATCTGCACTTTACATGATGGTTTTGCCAAGTTGCACACATGCATGTCCCCCGTGCAAGACAAGAAGGAAGGGAACACAGCTGGGCATCCGTCAAACAAGAGAGCCACCTTGTATTGGCCCTGGCCAATACTTTTTCACACTGCCATGGAGCTGAAACACCACATACTGTCACATGTCTTTTTTAGCATTTATATTGCCTTTTCCATTGAACACTGTTGGCAGAATTTTTCAATCTGACATACCAAGTACTTTCAAAAACCGTAATTCCATAGTACATATCAATTCTGGGAGAAGATGCAAAGATCTCATTATGTGTCTCACTTATAAAAATAAATGAAAGATGCTTGTAAGATTGGACTGTGATTATTTGTTGTGACTGTGATGTGGTTTTGCCACAAGCCAAAGACAGAAATTTAACAATGGCCTAGGCTAGAAATCCTCTTCTCTAGGGAGCAGCTGTAGCAGATTCATTCATGCTCTTGTGTATGAGTCATTCTAGATCACTACAGATAAATCCACATTTGGGGATCTGTTGCAATAAATTCATCGTGTAAATATTTTAAAATTATATATCACTATTAAAAACAAACAAATAAACATATTCACAGGTTCTAAAAAGGATTTGCTGAATAGAAGAATAAATGACTAATTGAAAATAAATGAGAAAAAAAAAAGAAGGAGATGGGAATGAGAAGTTACATTATGAAAAAGCATCAGAACTGTTTTAATTTTCAGAGATAAACTGTGTCGATGTAGCTTTACTATCCACTTCCCAGTAACCCAGTGTAATATTGTTAGTCTTAATACATCTTACCTCTATATCTAGCCACTCTTGACATTGATTTCAGTGCAATTTGTGTAATAGGTCAAGTAAAGTGGTGCTTATTGACTGCTGATTGTATACGTTTTTCCACCTGAAGTGTTATTGTTAATTGACAGACTCTTTCATTTTCCTGAGATAATTTTCATTCTATTTGAATAACTGCCTGTAATTCTCCTTTTGTAAACTTGGTCTCTTTCATGTCAAATATCAAATATAGTTTTGAGAATCAGATAAATTGTAGACACTAATTCGTTCTTTCACCCACAGAACATTAAAATAATCAGATTCAAGCTAATTTGTCAAACATAATTTACCTTTAGTGAATATATGCTGTCTGCCCTTAACTAAATCACCCATCTCTAAATGTCTTGTAATCTTGTCCCATACCATTATTTCCAGTAATATTCTTGCAAAAGAATCCTGGCTAACACTAATGGCCTGAAGTTTTCTGAATAATTCTGTCTTGACATATTGCTGGATGCTCTACCTCTATTCCCATGTGATTACAGATCCTATATTAGCTATATCTTTAACTTAATTCCTGGGGATTATAAAATTATAGGAAAAGCTATTAAATAGTTGTCTGTTGGTTGCCTTATGAAGCTTTTTGACTGTATTTCAAAGGTTGCCTTCAAAAATTATTTATTTATTTATGTAATTATGTGGGTGGCAACATAGATGGTACTTACCTTTCTGATGTCAGGGATGCATGCCTAGTTTTCTTCAGCTGATGAGAGTAAATTGGCTAAACACACCATATTGGACAGAGAGAAGCCCAAGCATCATTTTAAATGGCAGCAATCTGATTCGCATGTTGATGTACCACCAGATCATACAAGAGTTTTTCCTCTTGTTCTTCTATTGAGATGTAGCGTTGATTCCTCTGTGGTCTCACTTGCTTCCTCTAATTGGTTCCAAATGTGTTTCTCCCATTCTAATGTTTCCAAATAACTGTATAAAGACAGCAACAATGACCGCAAGAAAAAAATCCCTTCTTGAAATTTCATCTTGTATTTATATCTTCCTCTGTTGTCTTTTTATCGACAGAACATATGCTGTATCTGCTCTACACAGTCTTGCAAAAAATTCCTTTTGTATCTGATCCACTGAAATAATGACTGTTTTTGAGATTCACCCAAGCAGTCTCCTTTTCCAACACTTCCCACAGTAGCCTTTGATTATTTATATTTTTCTCTGCATACCAGAATCCAACCAGAACTCTTTTCTGGGCTACTCCCAGGAAGAATGTGACACAACCAAGCTTTTAGTCGCTTAATGTCTCTCTGATGTTATATGGCATTGTATGGCAGGCATAGATGGCGGTTATGCACGGTATTTAAAATTAATAATAATAATATAATAATAATAAAATAAATAAAAAAGGAATTGAAAATTCAAGGCTACATAGTCTAAAATAAGACTTTCACAAAGGATTATTCTGTGACCATGAGCACGTTGATTTCACTAAATCTGTATATCTTGCAAAACATACTTTCAGATCTATGAGCTGCTGCTACTCTTTGAAAAGTCTTTAAATTCTTTGCAGAATCCTGCATAAGGGAACCACCTTCCCAAGGAATTTGTAACTCATACATATCCTTCAGTAGGCACGTCTGCCACAAGCCCAGTGAAGATTCAGGGCAGACGAATGGTAGCTAGCACTCAAGAGGTTCATAAACAAAGAGTATCTTTTTAAATCTTGTCTGTGAATACTCTATCATTTCAGTCCAAATTCAGACTAGTTACTTTAAAACAGTGCTGAAAAGAATCCCATCCTACTGATAATTCTGTCCCCAGGTTTTCATTCTACTGCAGAAAATGTCAGGAAGTGTATAGAAAGACGGAGCTCTAATCATTCACTACTCCAAGGTCTTAGGCACACCAGATGTGCTCTGTAGGCACACACAGATACTTCTGTGTGGGCTTCTCTAAAGGCGGGATTGGCACATTTGAAACCCCCCTGGGGGATTTAGGGGGCTTGTGATGAAGGGTCAGTTAGGCAGAACCCAATCTGATTTGCTAAACAACCATTGTTAACAAAACTTGAAAAAAAAAAAAAAAAAAAAGGAAACAAACAAACAAACAAAAAAATAACATACTTTTTATTTGTATGCTCAGAACACTTGATTCCAAAGTCAATGAATGATATGAATCACCATGTTATTTTCCAGATAATTATTTTTTACATGTGAAGTAGTGAGGTAGTTCCTTTTGTGTCTCTGATTCAAACTACAGTTTTATAGAACAGAAGAAAACTTCCTCATCCTGAGGTATAACGAACGTACATTTACATTCACTCCCTGCAGATATCTCTATCAAATTCCATGAGTTAATATAGAAATGTTTTTTAAGATATGTTCCTTTTGCACTATATCATACATGAAAATGATTACTATTACTTTCTTCCTTTGTGCTTCTGAAAACTAAAGTACATGTATATACTGTATAATGTTTTATATATATATTGGCTTTCTAGAGATTATATTTATTTCAAGCATCAAATTCAAGATAATCAAAATTTCAAACTTTGTTTACTAATTTCATACTTACCTATTCTTTTAATATCCTGTCTTGGTTCTCTAGTTATAACATAGATGCACCTAAAGTTTGCTAGAAACATTTGCCATTAGCTCCTTCTAAAAAAATTAAATTTGAGGATAATCCTACCTCCAGAGCTTATTCTGTTCCTGGCCATTGACTGTGACAGTGAAAGGCTCATCTGAAAGCAGTGGAGCATCCCATCTAAAAGCATAAAACATATTACATTTCATGAAAAAGCTAATTCAGATTGTTTAATTCTGGTAATATTGCCTCTGTCACCTTCAAAATCAAAATGTTCTTTCCTGTTATTATAAAGAAAACAACCAAATTGCTTAAAAACCCATTTGAATACACAGCTGCCTTATGTTGCATACTAATTTGATTAAAAATGCTTGTGCCTCACCAGCATTTTTTATATAAAACATACTGGTGAATTTAACAAAGAAATATAAATATATTTTAGCAGTTTTTGATTATAGTGTACACTATAGTGTCCACTATACCCCTGGACCAAACAAAGATCTCATTGCAGCATTGGAAGGCTCTAAACTGAATGTCTTGCTGTATTTGTTTGCTCAACGCTTTGGGCACCGTGCCAACCTCATTGCGAATAACTGCATTAGTCAAGTGTATCCAAATTATTATAACACAGCGTCCATCCCAGTTATTGCTGTTGAAGCATTTTCTGAATCTTCACATCATCAGAAGCATTTATTTGAGGATAGAACTTTACATAAATTCAGAACAATTTTAATTTTAGACAGAAAATCTTAATATCTTTACGAGTGGCTTGTGTAACTAGGTTTTCTTAGAAAGCATAATCAGGAAGAAATGGTACTATTGTTTACTTATTACAAACACCTTGCCTAAATTGGGGGCTTCCACGACATTACAATTAAAAGAGGAGTCAGAGCACAATTCTTTATATTTATTTTTCAGCTTATAGAAATTAGTATTGTCAATAGTCACTTCACCTTCTTGCATCTTCACTCCACCGGTTCAACTCCTTGATTGAGATGGTGATGATACTGTAAGTATTAGTTGATCTCTAATTACCATGCCTTCATAAAGAGTGAAGACTATGTATCTTAATCTTTTTTTTTCTCCTAGAGGAGATCCTCCTCCTAATGCAGAGATGGCCAGTCTTTCATGCCATAGCAATCCTTAAACTTACGCTAAAGTATGTCTGCAAGCTACAGAGCATGAAGATCACCATGTTCCCACCTTTCCATTTCAGAGTAGCTCTGGTCAAATTGGTCAATGGGTCCCCAGACAACCTAACATTTACCTCTGCAGTCCTTGTTGTATTGCTCCTCATGTTTGGCCATCTACAATTTCTAGCTCAGCATTGCCCTCATCTTGATTATAGTTCAGGCAAGAGAGATGCATATGAGCTGTGTGATAGCTACATGCCATTCAAAAGATGCAGCCTGAACATTCCTGTTACATTGGCAAAGAAATCTCTCTCCTCAAGTTGGAACTTGTGTTTTTCTTCTCTTATAGTGGACAACTGTACTTTTTCTTCATTATCTAGTCCACTGAAGCAAGACTTCAAATTGATACATTAATGATATGTCCTTAAGTTTTTATTCACACTGTCCCTTATCCTTTATACTCAACATCAGGTTCATCAGTGTTTTGTATTTTACCAAGCCCCTTGTTTGGGAATAGAAATTGAATCCTCTTGTACCAGCATGTATAACTGAGCTTAATGAGGAATTTCGCATGGGATAGTATTAAATATTTATGCACCTGATAGTTTTGTCTAGTGTACTGTATTAATGAGAAAAGTATATACTATTATGCCATGAAAATCTAAATTATCATCTACTAAACTTGGCTAGAAGCAGGAAGTTGCAGTATTTATAAAATATTAACATTATATTGAAAAGAAAAAAAAACACTCTAAATTTCCTGTGAAAGAAAAAATGCAAAGCCATTCATTTACTTTGAAATGCTGACATTTTTCTTATTCATTGTATGAAAGACATATTGTGACTTACACAATATATTGCAATGTTATATTTAAAATATGTTGTCATATTAAATATGGTCTGTCCCTGTTAATGTTATCATGCAATGTACTAACTCATAATTAATTTAAGAAACAGTAGAGATTATGAAAATTTCAGAAATTATCCATATTTAATGAGAAAACAGAAATTGCTTCCGGAAATAGTTTCCTGGAAAAATAAAAAAATAAAAAATCTGGCAGTTAAATGAAATTTTAGAAGACTTATTTTGGTGGAGAAGTGAAATTTTAAATGTTCCTCTGTCTATCTCTAATAACTGCCAGATGCACATTTTTGTTGCTTACCATAACGAATTAATGTTCCTTTTATGGTGAAGAATATAAATAACAAAATATTGTAGAAAGGTTAGCTTTCTGTATCAAGTCCAGAACAGTGTTTTCAGAAAATGTTTCCTCTTCGCATCACTAGGATCAAAGAGCAGAGACTCTTTTTTTTGTAGGATCTTTTAGTATCAGATAAACTCTGTCTCTCACATGAGAAGGAAATTTTTGGGTGCAATATGTCATAGAGGAGCCCATGCCAATATTTGTCTCTTCCTAGGATTTTCAGGCATTGCCCAACATAGGAGATGAGTATCTTCTGTTTAGTTAGGACCTTGATCTCCCTGTATACAGACACCAAATGAAGCCTGTTGAGGAACTTTTTTTTTTTTTTTTTCCTGTCGTCTGATTTTTCTATCAAATTTTATGAAGGAGGAACTCAGGAAGCAGTGTGAGCATACATGCTAGCATAATGGCTTTCAACCAGAAAATTCAGTTAGGGATGTACCGGAATCATACATTTGACCTATCTAAATACTAGTATTTCTGGGCCTTGCAGTAATAAGGACTTAGTCTCAACAAAACTGTGAGAGCAAGGCTCAGCTTCTCTGCTCCTACCCCAAATTGTAACAGCTTCACTGCAGGGATGTAGCCACCTAAAACTTTACATGCATTTTTAGGAGTAAAGGCCTTTCTACAGACAGAATTACAATCTTTATTGAAGTTGTTCACTCCTTTTCTTTAGTTTACTCAGTCCCCTTTATAAACCTATCCATACTGAGGATGGACATACTTATAGGAGAAAACAGTACCCAGGATCCATGTTAAAACAGATTTGATTCCAGGAATTCTGAGTCTTATTCTATGCATTTATCCTCCGTCTCTGCTTTTAGGACTAAGTAAAAGCAAGAAAGAAGCAGAGTTTATTCTGATAGCTGGTCTCAGCTCACCATAGCAATTTGGGGGTTCTACTAGAGCTACCTCCTTATATCTGCTTCCAGTCTCCATCAGTGAGAGCTGAATGCTTACCTTAGATCCAGATCCTGCAGATCCAGAACCTGTCCTTCATAGTGTAGATGTTAAATGATCTGCCCAGCTGGAGAGAGTTTGTTTCTCTGCTCTTCAAATATATGTGCAAAATATAGAAAGAGGAACACATTTCACAAGATCCACTTAACAGGCTAAATAACAAGACTTTCGATATGAGTACATCATTATCACGTTTGGAGCTGAAATATTTTGTCACACTAACATAACTCAGAACAAAATTACAAGCTTTAATGGCAGACTACCATATACAAGTTTCCTCAAGGATAAAGTAGACCTGATTTTTGACACACGAACAAGTTATTGTCCATCAGCCACACAATGGTAAGTGCCTGTGTGCACAGTTCAGCAAATAGTACCATGTACCAGAAGTATAGTAAATTATCGTACTGTGAGTGAGGGATAAGTGATTTTCCAGTCAGATGTGGATGCACTTGCAATACAGATAGATTGAGAGAATTTATGCAGATATACAAACTATTTAACTAGAGACATAAATACCATGTCTTATGATGCTCTTGATAAGTCTATATAGCCTTTTAAACAACACCGTAGTATTTCTGTGCATGCCTTAAATTATCTTGTGTTGAGCACTCGTTACAGAGTAAAAGAATGCACAGCAACTAAGTGACACAGCAGCAGAGCAGCTGATGCATGGTAACCTTTTCATGTGTCAAAAGCCTCTGACAACTTCAGTTTTACATATGCTTTTGGATTTTTTACATTAAATCATCAACCTGCCAATGTCGTTCCCAAAACTCGTACTCAAAAAATTATGCTATTGAATGATCAGGGACTATTAATTTATTTGGGCAAGAATGAACGCTTCTGGAAGTTTCTTAGATTTTTGCAAGACTTTGGGGGAAGAATTAAAGGTGGAAGTATTTTTTTTCATGAATAGCTAACTGAGCTTCATTTTGCCTTAGATTGTACTATGTGATGCCATTGATACATGGATTTTTTAAAAAACAATTTTTCATTCAATGAGAGCTCAATCTAGTTTAGTAGCTTCCCTAAGCAATCTGATGTTTTATATGTATGCTTAACTCTTTAAATATAGTCTGCCTGCCTCCCAGCTAGTTAAGTAATATCAGTTTTTGTAAATGTTCAGAAACTCTAGAGTAGCTAAGGTAGCCGTACCTTTTAAATTCTCTAAAGGTCTTGAAGTGCACATACTCCCCAATGTCAGTGTGTATGCACTGTTTATTCAATGTACTAAGAACACAGGCAGCAACAACAACCTTTGTATGAGACAGCAAATCAGAGACACACAGGTAGATTGCAGGTAACCAGCTTGCTTTCGTGCTAATATGTTGACATTCATTAAGGGATTAGACATTGCTTTCTACCTTTTGAAGATGCTATTCCCAACAGATATTTCAATGTGCAATTTTTTATTTTTATTTTTTAATTTATTGTATTTTATTATGGGGAGGCAAAAAGGCTTAGGATGCTTAATTTCTCCCTCTGCCATATGGAGCATCCTGTGGAAGGGATTGTCTTTAATTTCCTTAATTATTAAACATAAACATAATAATAATTATGTTTAAACATAAACATAATATTAATTATGTTCACACAATATTTTGTGAACATATTTTATTCCTGTAGAGGAAAGATTGTGATGAACAACAGAGACCACAAAGAAGTGAAGCCTGTATCTCCTTACAAAAATGTTTTAAACTGTTACAATTCTAACATACCTGTACAGGAACACATAGGAACGTGAAGTGTTAATTAAAGATAAACTAACTCAAAGTATATAAGATAAAATCATTTCCCCTTTCCTTCATCACACATTTTCTTCTACTTAGATGCAAGGTGATCAAAGTATAGCAAACAAGCCATAGGAGAATTTCTCTGGTACTTGAAAGATCTTTAGCTACTCTGAACCTCTGTGTGAAACCCAGATTCCTGCAGCCATAATTTCCTTCCAGAATTAAACGATGAGACAGTTCCAGTTTAGAATTAAAGCTAGAATGCTGTAATTTTCTAAAGTATTGCCCATGATCATTAAAAGTACTGTCAGCCACAATTCAGTAGCTGATAATCAGTGCAGTGAAGTCCAGCTGCTGCCTTAAGTCTGGTATTTAAACATGCAATCTGGGACACATTGGGCAGATACCCTGCAAGGGTATTTTATTAAATTAACAGTAGTGAATGGTGCATAAAATTGTCACTAAGATAAATTTATTACAGTATGATTTTCTTCTCACATTATTCTGTATGGGGTGCTACCCCAACAGAGTTTCCAATTCAGTAGTATGCCTGAAGCCAGGGGTTTTATCAGCAGTGTGTCAAAGGGTGTCTGGCTCTCATTCATATATAATTTACTCTTATTACACTGGATATTTCTATTGTTCTGCACTAACAGTTATATATTTTCTAATGAAGGTTTAAATCAACTGGGAACCAGGGTATAAAGACAGTTTTAGTATTTTGTGCCAAATATGGATTGTTTGTCTTCCTGTTAGTTATGGATTGTGAGTGTATTATTGCTGAAGGAAAATTATTATTTTTTCCTTTTTGTTTCAAGTATTTATTTAACTTGCTATACAAATTATAGGAACTTTTCAAGTATTCTAAATGAACAATATCAGTTAGAAAAAAAAGTCAGAGATGATTAAAATAAACATATGAGCATACCTAGCCTTCCTAGGTCAGCTTCATGCTCTATTGAACTTGCAGTGGTAACTCTGACAGTATTGGTGTTTAGCATTTACTAGCTGTGTCTAGACAAGAGTTGAATAACTACATACCTGAAAGCTTCCATATAATATGGAATAACTACATACCTGCAAGCTTCTCCATATAATATCCTCTTCAAAGTTTTAAAATTTATTTAAATTTTATTTGCTTTGCTTGTATCTGTTGTATTTGCTGTATGCTGGTTGCATCTGACTACGAAGCTGTATGTTGGTCAGAAGTGGGTAGCAGCACATGCTAGCACTCGCAGAGCTAAGAACTTTTCAAGGTTCACATAGGCATTTCAGTCCATCTTTTACTATGTATCTGGGAAAGCTCTTGGTGGATTGGCTGTCTTGTCCATGTTACCAGCCTTCTGGGGAAAGGCAGGCAGTTGGAATTGTTATATGGAATGATGGAGAGCTTGATGTGTGTCCTCTCTACACACATTGCAGCACTTCAGAGCTATGTTCCCATAGTCACGTAAACTCTGTGGTGGTGTTGATATTGGTAAATATCCAGTAATTAGCCAGCTGGGCCTGACTAAGTTTCCAGAATTAGTTTCTGAGCATCGTGGCTGATTTTTGCACATACTGCCAACTGTTAAAGTATCCTACGATCATGTCTGAAATTAGCAAGTGGTTGTATTTTTTGCTATAATGTACCCTCTCATTGTTATTTATGTATTATTTCTTCTTGTTAGGTATTGATAAGAGATTAATTTGGGAGACCAACTCATTGCTTCTCTTCATTTTCTGGGTTCCTTGCACTTCCTGTTTTATAAAAAACATGATTAACCACTGCTTTTAGGTTAAAATTCACATTTTCAAAAGATAAACTTTTTTTTTTTTTTTTTTTTCTCCCATGGAAATTGTGATGCAGCAAATTATTGAATCAACAGTGAAGCTCCTATTATACAACTCCCACTAATTATAGATCTTTTTTACACTTTAGTCAATACATTATTCTCCTAAATATCCCTACCATTGTGTGCATAAACATGTCAATAATGTTTTTAATGTGTCTCCCTCCTGAAGGCATGTTACCACTGGCAAAAGGGTCTGAGAATTAGCTCAGAAAGTGAGTGACATTTGTGAAAAGTGTTCTGGATAAAATAAATATTTTTAAAAGCTGAGCATAGCTGGTTAAGAATTTATTTTTTCCTTGAAAACATGGCAGTTTTTTTGAACTGAATTATTTGTGGGACTTTATTAGAAGCTATAACAGGCACATGGTCGTAGGGTCTTATAAGAATTTCTACTTGTACTGTGTTCCTTAAACCCAGTGCAGACTGGGACTTTAGCATCCATCTCAAATAATCTATATGGATTTTTTAAGTCCAGACAATTGAACACATATGTATAGATTTTTCTCATCTGCTTCTGTTTAAGTTATACTACTGACTCTATAATGCATGAAAATATCCAATTCTGCTCTGATTTAAAACATAACAGAGAACCTGAGTTTGATCCTTCCACCTTCAGATGAGTGGCATAGCCACCTGCTGGTGATTTCTTCTGGCATAAGCAAACCCCTCTGTTAATTTCTTTCACCAGTTCTTCATATGGAACAATAACAACAATTAAATAATTTATAATAATAAAAATTAAAACAACAACAACAAAACAGAAATCTCAGTGTCACCCTCAAATGAAAAAGGGGAATGTTGAACTTGGGAAGAAGCTTATGGCACAAGAAGATTTTTCCCTGCACATCTCTAATGCTTAGTTTTCTTAAAATCAAAGCTCAACTTTCTTTAAATGTTAATATTATATTTTCTTCTGTGTATATAGGTATAATTGTAGCAAAAATTAAGATTTTAAAAACTCCTCAGTAGTCCCGTAGATCAATCATTAAAGTTTAAACACTGAAGAGTGTTCATCAGGTGACTATGTTGCTGAAGTGATAAATATAATTTAATGGAATATATTCAAATTAAGGCTATCACACAGTGTTGCTATCAATTTTTATATAATGAAAGAGATTAAATGAATCCTTGCTAATGCATTATTGGTATGTGAAGAACAAGAAGAAACAAATCACACACATTTTCCCACTTAATTGTTGTGCTAGACACTCATTGTCATATCATTGACCTATTTGGTCATGCCCAAGTTAATCATGCCTGAACCTTTTCCCAGTGGGAAATAAGCTTCTTCACTTCCTGTCTTGCAGGAATATCAACTAAAACTCAGTCACATATGCCTATAGTCTGATCACTGCAGCCCACCGTAACCATCGTTTCCAGCAGTGAAACTGCAGTCTGCAGCGTGCCCGTGAGAGTCAGTGTCAGAAACCCATCACTTCCCATGTGCCTTCGTTCAAATCCATTCAATCACTTACAACATTAAATCACACCAACCTCTGTTTGCAAAAGTGCTCCCCTCCTTTCTTTC